GTTAATGTGTCATTCGTCTTCGTCCGCAACTGGTTCGAGGTTGTAAGGCAGAAGGAGTAAAACGTCTACAGATCCTTTGTCCCGTTTGCTCGTGCTTGTTTGCTAAGGCTTGTGCATTCTTGATGATGGCGCGTGCTTATTTTTTCGCGAAACATGACCGACTATATGCCGAAGAGATGCTCTTATATCTGATGATGTTGTCTGTGTTTTCAGCTGATCTCCTTATTGTCCGATCCGGCTGTCGCAGACTTGTCTTGTCCTCCTCCTGTTGGTTGCTGCGTTCATTTAGTCGAGAAGGACGACGAAGACGCCGTTGCTGCTGCCGCTGCCGCCACCAGTACAGAAAGGTGTTTAGTGCTTACTGACAGACATAGCAAACGAATCGTGCGTGTTCGTGTGTGCCGGCCCGACCGTTCTCGATTTGTGTCGTACAGCGACCATCTTCGGCTCGGTCCCGTGTTTCTCGCCGGTAAATTACAACAGGAAGCTTGATCAGTGTTGATCTGCGATTGTCCGCCATCCGGACAGTTTGTCGGGTCATCGAACGTCAACCAAACCAGCAGCCCGTAGGTTGTATCGTACTGCTCTCGCCGCACTTGGCCGGACGTCGTCCGAACAGCCTCTTGCATTTAGCCTGCTGTTGCGATCGGTCACCATCAACTTCATCAACACACTACTACAATCACCAAACAACAACAACCACAAGCATATCAGCCAATAAACCCAGTTCGTCGTCGTGGTCCTCGTTCATCGGCCGTCATATTCACGTTCTGTTTCACTTCACTGACTTTACCGTGAGCACTTAGCTCTTGTCAGCTTCAGCTTAAATCGGCTTAGTGGCCTGAATTGGTTGGACAACCGTAACCGTACCTGGTCGTTGTCTTTCTCTCATTCTCGCCCTCGCTTTACTCCCTCAGTCGTCGTCGGCAAGCAAGCAAGCAAGCAACTCAGTCGCTCGCTCGAATCTTGTTGAAACGAACGAATTCGCTCTCAGCTTAATTCAACTCAATTCAGCTCGACTCGACTCGATTCGACTCGACTTACACCTCGTGTCCGTTTGTCAGTGAAGTCTGTCGTCAGCAATCACAGCCAGTTCCGTGTTCGTATCGTCAACTACGATGGTAAGTGTATGAAGTTGTCTGTTGCCCTTGTCGGCTGTGGTGATGTTGCTTTGCTCGTTTTATCTCCACTTAAGCAATTAATAAGTTACTAGCGTATATGTACTGGCACCGGTGCTGGTGTTAGTGCTTTTGAACTGATGGATGTGGACGATAGACGTTTGTATTTTGTAGTCGATCGTGTCGTTTTTCGTCTACTCGTGTTGATGAATGCATGCATGAATCACGCGGTTTTCGTTTCTCGTTTTTTCCTGTCCTGTCGTATCTGTGATGAAGCTTTTTTATTTTCCTTTTTTTACTTTTTACGCATATGTTTTTTCATCGACGGTTTCGTGAAAGCATCCTCTCATATCCGTCATTCCTTCACACTCTCCCTCCTTACAACTGCTCTTTCGCCGTTTAACCATCGTCTTTTTCTATTATAGGCTGATCAACTGACCGAAGAGCAGATTGCCGAATTCAAAGAGGCGTTCTCACTATTCGACAAGGACGGTGACGGCACAATCACCACCAAGGAGCTCGGTACCGTCATGCGATCACTCGGCCAGAACCCGACCGAAGCTGAGTTGCAAGATATGATCAACGAAGTGGACGCCGACGGTAAACTTAACTTTTAGTTTTAATTACGTTGCATAACTTTTTCAAGTCATGATAATACCACGCCATGGATAACTGCAAGCACATATCACGTCTTTATATTCTGTCGTTATCACTACGAAACAACTTTCTTATTGCTATGCTTGGCACTGTACAAATTTTGCCCCTTCAAATTCGCGCTAAATTGAAAACTGTGCTAAATATTGAGGCTGTTGCAGTTTTAGCGAACACCCGTTTCTCAAGCTGAGTAATCAAATTAGGGCTAACTGTTCCACATCCTCTTCCTGCGAATCAAGTTTCGTCCTGAACACAAAAATCTTATTTTGCTTGAGGACACTCAGCAGTCCCTTTTTTCGATATTAAGTTGAATTCCTTTTTCACGTTGTTTTCATAACCAACTCAAATAAAAGTATCTGATGTAAAAATATTTCTTTGAGAATGTGAATTCCCCTGCCTCCATTAAGTAAACTGTATTGTTAAAGTACGAACAATGACGTATCTTTTTTGAACCGGAAGTTGTCACTGTCTGTAAGCGGTCGCACATCTGCTCTCAGTCGTGCGTCCTGTGTACTTCAGATTTTTGAGGCGCCACCTCCAAGCAACAGCTAAGTCACACCCAGTCTGGACTAAAGTACCAGACTCACGTTATATGTTCTTGAGCCGGACACTGTGCTTGAAGACTACAACCGCTGGGTTCGGTATGAGCTGCAGATTTGACCGACTGATTTCAAAACAGTTGTTGTTGCCCACTGATTCCATCCAAGGTGAATGGTTGACACAACTTTTGCTATGTTAGTCTCGTTATTTTATTGTATTCATTTTCAGACTCTATTCTTATCTAGTAATTTACTTCTTCAGCTTTTTCGAAAGTTGTCGAACTTGCTTTTGTATATGTGAAAACGCACGATTCTTTTA